CTGCAATGGAATATGGGCTGTATGATACGACCAGCGGCTAACACGGGAAGTGGCGTCTCTTTCCACAAATCTCGTTTCATTCACAGCCATGATTTGACTGCAATTCAGTTCAATTTCTGCCACAAATTCAACTCCACGAGTACAAGGAAGCTCAGCGGATCTCAACACGAACGTTCGCCCATCACCTGCAATGGAATATGGGCTGTATGATACGACCAGCGGCTAACACGGGAAGTGGCGTCATTTCCAGAAATCTCGTTTCATTCACAACCATTTGACTGCAATTCATTGCAATTTCTGCCACAAATTCAACTCCACGAGTACGAGGAAGCTCAGCGGATCTCAACAGACAACACGAACGTTCGCCCATCACCTGCAATGGAATATGGGCTGTATGATACGACCAGCGGCTAACACGGGAAGTGGCGTCATTTTCCACAAATCTCATTTCGTTCACCAAAAAATTGAAGTACAATTAGGGATTTATCTTCCATTTCCATCGCCTCAGAATAAATTAACTTCGATAAACTGAGAGAGAATGAGTGAGGCAGCTGGAAAAATTGAGGATGAAAATAGAGATCAGAAGACTCGACGGAGCAATCGTCTCCGTGCTCTAAGAGAAATTGGAGAATGTCCCAATTAGTATTTCAAGAAGACATCACAATTTTTGAATTTCCTGGCCTCGCAACACCGTTCCCTGGCAGCGTTCCCCCGGCAGCGCGAGGCAAAGATGTTTTCTGGGAATGTGTGCCGTGTCCTCTCCCGGGCTTTTACGACTCCCTGCTCTATACCATGCACTTTCAATAAATCGTGACGCCATTTTGTTTTAACACGCATACGGTCCACTCTCCTAGTTCTAGACTGGCTAGACTAGAGTAAACCAGCATGCATGTTTTAGCAGTGAGACACGAAGCATCTCTGAAACTCACCGTGCTACTGAGGCTGGCAGAGGGGCGAAATCAGTCAGCTTTCGCTAAGCCGCGCGCGGTGATCAGCTGAAGTGAAGGGTGCGCTAGCTACAGTTTCCACCCAACTGACTCGGACGATGGGCATGGGACGAATAGACCGATCCCCTTATTATTGTCTGGGTTCGAGCAAGGGGGCAACTCCGCAGTCGCGTGGGATCCTGCTGCACACACGCGACCAACCTCACCTCGGCCGTGCGCGACTTCTCGCATGCGAAGTGCAGAGCACGCGAAATCTACATGCAGTGCAAGCCTGTCTACAAAAAATGTCACAAGGACTTTTGATTTGAGCTGTTTTGTTTTTGTTCAGACGTCTTCCTTTTTACGACTTCAGGATGCCTTCTCAGGATCATTGCTGCGTTCCTCACTGTCAGAACAGGAGGACGATGCAAACAAGTCATTTCACTCCTTTCCTCGTGTGGAGCCACAGCGGCCTGGAGCAGCGGATCCAGGCTATGCCCCGTGAGGAAGGGCGTAGTTTTAGGGTCACTCTGAATAGTTGCAGCGATCATTTCGATCCCGAAATCGAAATCGTTTTGCCCAGCTCTACAAGGGCAGGATGAGTCCAGGAACCCGAACAGCTGTCCTACGGTACCAGGTTTGCTTTTCGCAAGAGAGTGGAGTCTGGACGCCCTGCTCCCCATGCTCGCAAAACAGTATTTGCTGAGCCTAGTGCAGTTCGGTCATGGAAGTGCAGCGTCTGCATCACGAGCTCCCCATGCTCCCAAACCAGTATTTTGCTGAGAGGCAACGGTACTTTGAGTTGGAAAGGAAGCTGGCTTAGTGCAGTTTGGTCCTGTAATGGAAGTGCAGCATCTGCATCAGGAGCTGGCAGCAAGTAGAGCTCGTGTACAGAGTCTCGTGGAGCAGTTGGACGATGTGAGGACTGGGGTGAAGAAAGCCGAAAAACAGCTTACGTACAGTATCATAAAGAAAGACTCTGAGCCGCTCCAGTTTCTGACTGGTTTGCCTTCAGGTGTTTGGACTTGCTCTGTGGGACTTCTTTGAGCCTAGCCGAGAAAATGTACTGCGCCGCGCCAGATCTGCGAAGACGGAAACTGAGGGACGGCGGATACAGTTGGAGGTGGCCGTAAATCGCCAATGAGCATGTAATGGAGGATCAGCTGCTATTGGCATTGATGTGTCTAAGCCTGGGCCGAATGGAACAGAAGCTGGCATGCGTGGCACAAGTTAATCATCCGTTTCACGGTATATAGCTAGCTGAGCTGGAAAGATGTCTTGTTCCTCCGTTTGGGCATGATCCCCATTTGGGCGAGCTGGCGAGATGTTCAGTCATCGATGCCATGCACCGCAAGACATTCTGCATTGTGGATGAAACAGTTCTATTTTGCCATGCACTTAGGGTTCTCGCACCGGCACGGCACAACAAGACCCAACAGATCCTTGCGCTCGTATTTTCTCCCATGGTAACATTGCTGATCACAACACCCAGTAGCCAGTCGCAGATGCAACCAAATCAACCAGGTTCTCTTTCTCTTTTTTTCCAATACTGAAACCAAGGTATACCAATATTTGCATCGAATGCAGTGATGATTTCAATACTGTCCACCAGTACAACGCATTACCAGACTGGCATATAATCATGATAATATTATCCATTTCGCAATCACTGTCATTGCTTTCTTAGATCTCCAATCATCAATATCGGACCATAAACCGTCTATCATCTTATATTATATCATCATTAATATCCTGCTACTATCCTCCTCTAACGATGAGCTCGAAGAAACGAAACAGCTGTCTTGAGGCGGAAACAATATCTGTCAACGGAAGTGTCCTTGCTGTGCTGGTGTGTTTATGCTTCGTGCATTAGTTCGGCCAAGAGCGCATGGTGGTGGCGGGTTGAGGATGTAGTACAGCGGAGTATGACCGAAAGCTCTGTCACAATGTATTTTATTAGGAAGGTATAGAAACAGAAAAAAAACTGTATCTTGATCTTGGGCGTAAACAGCCCGTCTCACATTAAATATACTAGAAAATAGTTCACTCTAAACATGCAGTCTTCCTAAGAGAGAGAGAGAGGGGGGGGGGGGGTATATTCATACTCATAGGTTCGAAAGAACCGCACACACACTTTGTTGCAGACAGCGGCAAGCTTTGGCCATCGTACTTCGAAGAGGGAGCAATCCACTGCGCTACGCTTGCGATTAACAGCAAGCTTCGATCTTTCAAAGTTACGACTCATCACTGGCTCTGGGGTAATGTTCCTGGAACAAATGCCCCATTGCCGACTGCGGGCCAGGGAGCACGCAATCTGCCTTCCTGGGCGAGAAGTGTTCCAGCACAAGAAGCAGCACGAATACATGCTTACAAAGACCACCATCACCACCAGCCGGCACACAGCACTTCAAACACCATCCACTCCTTCCATGTGTTTGCACTGTCCTCCTCTAGCTCTTCACGCTCAACAAATACCACGCACTGCTCATCGTTTTTTTTAATGCTTCCTCTGGGTTGGCTAGCCCTTCGACTTGACAAAACAGCGATCACCACTGCTATCGTCACCTCATAGCAGTCGCTTCCACCAGTGGCTTTTCCTGTCTTTGCAAGGTGTCCAAGGATGGCTGCTGTTGTCACTACAGGCAAATCAGAAGTACTTTAGTGGCTGATGTCCAACCAGATCGTTGGAAAATCGATTTTTCCACTTCAGGGCTGCTGATCGCGATCGCGACTTGGTGACTTCGCAGCACCACGGTTACCTTCATAGAAGATGGCTCTGGAGAGGAAAAGGCAGACCAGAAAAAGGTTACTATTATCTTCAGCACCGATCTCAAGGAGAAAGAAATACGGTCTGCTGTAGCCTAGGCACAAAATAAATCTCACAACACGATTCGCGATTCGAATAATACCAACAACAAAAAAACTCACCTCTGGAGTAACTCCTGTTTGTGGCCCGAGATCGTTCTCTCCCGCGCCTTGAAAAAATCCTGCAGCTGCATCGCAGTCCATGTCTCTCTCGAAGACTCTGCTCCTACCAGCAGGAGGTTCAGCACCGCTCGAAGCCATCGCAAACCACTTGAACTAAGCAGAAGACATTCCAAAACAAACCTGAAACACACTGTCAAAGATGCTGTCACGTTCAAAAACTAGCTCGATCGCGAGTGAGGTTGCCCCCGTGCTCGAACCCAGTATAATAAGGGGATCGGTCTATTGCTGAATGAAATATTGGTGAGCGATGGTGTCTGCGCAAGGAACGTTAGCTACACTTACAGAGCTAGAGCACGCCTTCAACGTTTTCAAACAGTGGCTCAGCCTGTGGGCTTCTATACTGTACAACTATTTCTGTTTCTAGATGTTACTGAGCTAGGCCATATACTGATATAGGGTGCAACGAAACGAGTTCCTAACTCTGAGGTTGACTGCATGCAGCAGCTACAGCGGACTAACAGGAACCCAAATAACTCACCCTACTACTACTAGTACTACTACTACTACTACTACTACTACTACTAGTACTGTACTAGACAGAAAACTAAAAAAAAACTATCTCGGACCAGCTCCAAGCCAAGGCCAGGGACCATGGCATGGGCAAAGCCAACCCTTCACGTAGTACTACTACTAGTACTATTATATGACTCCCGATCTCAACGAGTAATCCCACACTGGCCACAGCCTAGCCGCGTAGATCATTACATTAGTATTCATTAGATGATCTACCGACTGACTGTACTGTCCGGGTCCGGGGCCGGGCCGTCACAGCGCTAGCGGCACATGCTGCATGCACCATGTGCACGGCCAAGCCTGTCGACGATCGCAGGATCTAGGATCGCATGGCATGCATGTAATGATGTAGTCTACGTCTGTGCCACTGAGTAGATCTACTGACTGTTGTGAGAGTGACTCTGTACTCAGTAATCATGGTAATGCCTAAATCATTAAAAAGTCAAGTGCATGTACTGTATGCGCCTTTTGCTTTTGCATATGTTGCCACTGGCAACTTACGTGTTACTTGTTCGGTGGAGAGGATTTTTAGTACAGACTCAGTGTGCATGTACAGCCATGCAGTCTAGGACTAGGGACTGTTCCTATGCGCGTCTAGTGCTACTGGTACTGTGTACTGTCTGTGTACATGTTCTGGCATGTACTCAGTTATAATGCCGAGTAATCATGGTAATGGCAGCTGACTTTATTTTTGGAGAAACACTAGTCCTGGAGTGTCATTGTAGTAAAACGTAACAATGAATGGCGATAGCATCTAGGAAGGATCGCTACCCTGACGTGAAAGAAAGGCCTTGCGCGGCTGCTCTACGAAGTGTTGCAGAAAGACTCAAAGTTAGTTGCTGGACGAACAACTCGCTGGGGCCGGAAAACCTGGCCCCAACGATGGAGTTTGGTGAATCATCAAGCATAATATCTTGTAGCAGTGTTCACCGAGGAAGGAGAACGCTCTAGCCGCTGCTGTTGTCCGTTTCATCCACGTTGGGCGTGAGCTGCACCGCGCCTATTGTGTTTTAGTATTCCATGGACACACATTAGCATTCAGAGCGATTGTGGAGCCACAATTTACTTCACACGGCGTTGTATTGTCCACGAGCGCAAACTTAATTATCAGCAGTAACTGTTACTCTTCATCCTACATGTAGACTTGGAGTATACACGGCCTTGTCACGACAGCGACAGCTCTACAGATCATGCAGAGTGTTCAAGTGAGAAACATTAATTTCTATTGTTGGTGGACGAATAAATGGCAGGTTCCGAAAAAACGCGGCCTGCACCGATGGTGTTTGGTGGATCATCAAACAGGGTGACCAGCAGTGTTCACCGAGGAAGGAGAATGCACTCGCCACCACTCCGATTCATCCAAGTGGGCGTTAGCTGCGCCGCGCCTATTGTGTTTTAGTATTCCATGGACGCACACTAGAGTTCTCAGCGATTGTGGAGCCACAACATATCTTCATGCGGCGTTGCACTGTCCAAGAGCAGAAACGTCAGCAGTGACCCATCATCATACATGTAGATTTGGAGTATACACACCATGCGCCAATGGGCCTCGGCACAACAGCGGCAGCTCTACGGAGTGTTCAAGTGAGAAACATTTGTTTCGACTTTTGGTGGACGAACAAATCGTCGGTGCCGAAAAACGTGGCCTGCGCCGATGGTGCTTGAAACATCAAGCATGGCATGTGGTGACTGTCAGTGTTGATCGAGGAAGGAGAACACTCAGGCCGTCGACCGTTCATCCATTTCGTTAGCTGCACCAAGCCTATTGTGTCCTTGTATTCCATGGGCACACAATCATGAAGCATGGCGTCTGAGCTGTGTTCACAGAGCGGGGAGATGCTCTTGCTGCTATCTTATCTGTCCTGTGTATTCCCAAGTGCCGAAGGCTCACAACGATGGTGTTGGACAAGTCAGATAAAATAGAGTCAACGTAAGTACGCATGTGTACTCTTACTGACTGAAACATAAGTGGGGTGTAAGAGCTAATTCAAATGGTGTCGCGACATTCTCATGTACGAGGTTAGTGTGTAGTACTTGTTACGTACTGAATTCTGTGACTTTGTTTTGGCTCCATATACTGCATGCATTCACGTTTCACAGTTATCAGTTTGACCCTGAGTTCATGTCTGTTATCCCGTGTCTCCTCTACTTATTTTTGTTTCCACACGGTTCATGGTGTAGCGCTGCACGTGTTCCGTCAGTTTGAACTTCAGCATAAATCGCAACTACTTGTATTTCCAGACATGTCACGTGATTGTTGCCAGGGTTTGAGCCAATCAGAGCGTTTACAGGCAGGGCCTGAACCCCTGATCATGCCTTGCCTGCCAGCTCTACTACGATATTATATGTCACGTACCCGCGCGCACGGTTCTCCTGCGCTTGGGCTTGCTTTCCCTTGGTAGTTGGAAGTCAGTGGCTGTTTTAGTACTCTTAGATTATGTACAGAAAGTGGTGGACATCACGCAACTGCAGTGTAAATTAAAGGGTGGTTGTCAACTGACAACCGCATAATTTTTCGACATAATTAATAAAAGAATTTTCATCTAAAGAGTGAAAAGCAACTAAATAGAGCGGTTGTCGGTTGACAACCCCCCTTTTATTTAGATTATGTATCTGAAGTTAACACAACGTAGAAGTATCACAATTGTCTCTTGTGTATTATATCCGTCTGATGTCACCAGATCGTCACACGGTGCTGTGACCAAGATACGGATCATGCCGAACGCTGATTCAACTGGACGAATCGCGAGGCTTTTCAGATGCAGGGACACAATGGAAACTGAATGACTTCAGAACAGCACTGCTTGGCGCGTCTATACAGCATCATTTGGCACAGCAAGATGACAAAACAGCTAGCAGTGGCTATTGGTGAGAAAATTTCTGCTGTGCCATTGGAGTGTGCACGATACACGAACCCTGCTCTTTTGTTGGCACCGCCTATGTAACTTACTGCATAGGGTGCAAGGTGACCGTTGTCGGTTTACATGTACTCCAGTTATTACACCGTGCATGCACTGAGTCTGTGCTGCACTGTGCATCCATAGGTGTTCGTTCGTTATGACACGCGAGTAATAGTGAAATACGATTGGCGTATTGTGCTGGACTGACTGCGGTAATGTAAAGCTAAAATAAAGCAGTCAGTTTGCCCTTAGCATGGCCTTGTCATGACGGTGCCACATCCGTGGAAAGGCAACATGCCGGCTAATCTCCCTGAGAAGTTGAGTGGTTATCAGCAGGCGATGACGCTGTGTCGATGATGACCTGTTGATGCCCGACAGGAACCTTGCGAGGAGAGTCATTGGGCCTGACGGGTAGGTAAAGCCAACTTCCACATGAAGTTTGCGGATGGCTGACATGTAGACATGGACAGATCGGGGCTGAAAAGTTCTGAACAACTCGGCAGCAAAATAACACATAAAGTAAAAAGTCATCACCTGGCAATGGATTCCAGTTATGCCCTTGACAGAACTGGAAGTAACGGGTATCGGCGGAAAAATATTTCCGGCTGGTGCCAGTGCTGCTAGCTGCAGCACGGAGTCCGGCAACTGAGAGTTGGAAAAGACTGGCTGATCTGGCTCAGCTGCTGCTTCCGGAGCCCTCGATGGTTCAAACACCATCGGCGCAGGCCACGTTTTTCGGCACCGACGATTTGTTCGTCCACCAAAAGTCAAAACAAATGTTTCTCACTTGAACACTCCGTAGAGCTGCCGCTGTTGTGCCAAGGCCCATTGGCGCATGGTGTGTATACTCCAAATCTACATGTATGATGAAGGGTCACTGCTGACGTTTCTGCTCTTGGACAGTGCAAAGCCGCATGAAGATATGTTGTGGCTCCACAATCGCTGAGAACGCTAGTGTGCATCCATGGAATACTAAAACACAATAGGCGCGGCGCAGCTAACGCCCACTTGGATAAATCGCAGTGGTGGCGAGTGCATTCTCCTTCCTCGGTGAACACTGCTGGTCACCCTGTTTGATGATCCACCAAACACCATCGGTGCAGGCCGTGTTTTTTCGGAACCAGCCATTTATTCGTCCACCAACAATAGAAATTAATGTTTCTCACTTGAACACTCTGTAGAGCTGTCGCTGTCGTGACAAGGCCGTGTATACTCCAAGTCTACAATGTAGGATGAAGAGTAACAGTTACTGCTGATAATGAAGTTTGCGCTCGTGGACAATACAACGCTGTGTGAAGTAAATTGTGGCTCCACAATCGCTCTGAATGCTAATGTGTGTCCATGGAATACTAGAACACAATAGGCGCGGTGCAGCTAACGCCCAACGTGGATGAAACGGACAACAGCAGCGGCTAGAGCGTTCTCCTTCCTCGGTGAACACTGCTACAAGACATTATGCTTGATGATTCACCAAACACCATCGTTGGGGGCCAAGTTTTCCGGCGCCAGCAAGTTGTTCGTCCACCAACTAACTTTGATGAGTCTTTCTTCAACACTTCGTAGAGCAGCCGCGCAAGGCCTTTCCTTCGCGTTAGGGTAGCGATCCTTCCTAGATGATATCGCTATTCATTGTTACTTTTTACTTCAATGAGTAGTGTAGTGTCTCTCCGAAAATAAAGTCAGCTGCCTTGGCATTAGGCATTAGTACTGCCTAGGCCTAGCACCTGGACTTGGAAAAAAATTGATTTTGCAAGTCTTCAATCATGTTTGCATGTACGCGCTATCCAGCCATGTGGCGTGAACAGATTCTGGATTGCCTGACGTGAAAGGTAGCGCGCGCGGGCCCGCGAGAGTCGTACGCGCGCTCGCGGACGTGTCTGACACGTGAAACGAAAAGATTTTTTTGGCGGGTAGTCGGCAAAAATTAAGTGACGGTCCCTTTAGTAGGGTGTTCGGACGATTTTGAAAGTTGCTCTGATCTCCTCGATTTTAGTCTCATTGGAAAGAGTAGGATAAACTAGCCGGGAAATATATAAGGTTTGTCTAAATCCGACCAGACGTTCAAGAGTTATGATCGTTTGAAGTGCGCTTGTTGGCACTTTTGCTGGAACAGTTTTGATGCAGGCCAGTGGCACAAAACCGGGAAATTCAAAACCAACTAGAACGAGGTGAAAATCAATTTCGTTCAGGGTCTTTCAAATTTTCACAAATGATAGCCAATGGAGAGCTTCCATCACTTGACCAATTTTTTTGGTATTCAATCTAGCCAAATTCAAATTACGCCCATAGCAACCACCATAGCAACGCATACAAATTAGTCGAAATAGATGCGAAAGATGTAACCCTTCACAGGCTGAAGCTAATTGGAATACGGGTACTACAAAGACGCATCACCAGGAGGAGATTACAGTTATCTACCCCATGTAGATGAAGCATCCAAGAAAATAACATACGCACTCAGCCGAGACAGCACCCGCACCCGGGCATGTTGCGCCGCGGGACCGGATGCATGCAGCCAATTAACAGGTATGCTGCACCATTGCGACACGATGTAAGCTTCAGCCAGGCCAAGGCAGCAGCAGTCCTGCTAATCATCAGCTTTAGAAGGACAACTTGTTCCCAGTCATATACGGCGCGTGCAGCACTTCGGGGCAATTGGTGTCGCACGTCACATGTAATTCATTCATACGATTTGCACAATCAACAGACAGTTCATTTATCGGATGATTATGCAAGCGTAATTTGGATGTAAATTATAAAGTCGACAAATACACTGGCCCTACATTGCCCATGCTAAGTGGATGACAATGTACTCCAGACACGGTGCATACGGCATTGCGTAGCTGCACTGCGTTAGCGCGCTGCAATTTTGCAAATCCTCAGAGTGTCAATTCTGTACAGATTTTCAGCTGCATCATGAACGTAGTCTGTTCTTGACCAATTATTTGTCTGCACAATGGCTTTCTCCACTCTCATCTGGATACAGCGACCAGAGGTTTATCTGATGTGGTAGCTCAGCGAAACTACAAATAAACAGCACTACAGCCAAGTCCATCAACTCCATGTACATGTACATGTACATGTACTCCATACATTTGGTATCCTGGCGCAAATCGATCGCTCATAGAACAAGAAGACAGCATCGTACAGCCTCCAAATTTCACACACTGCGTAGTTTTTCGACGCTGAAGACGATGGAATGGTCGCCGGCGTTGCGACCGGCCCAGAACAGGCCGACATCGATACCCTGAAGTTGCGCAGGGCGTAACATTGCTAAAATTCGTCGTGTGGAAACGGGACTTACGGTCTCAACAGCAGAGACATCTCCTCTTTCCAACAAAGAAACAAACTCGTCCTGAGCTGCTAAAATTTTACCTTGCCAAGGCAAGAAGCACAGTGATGTACGATTGTGCCACGGACCCCGTACAAAACTGTTTCCACTCAAAATGCGCCTGGGTTCGAGGCACCGAACACCCTACCTTTAGGCGAAGGACTAAAGGGACCGTCACTTAATTTTTGCCGACTACCCGCCAAAAACATCTTTTCGTTTCACGTGTCAGACACGTCCGCGAGCTAGCGCGTACGACTCGCGCGCGCCCGCGCTACCTTTCACGTCAGGCAGTCTGTTCACGCCACATGGCTGGATAGCGCGTACATATGCAAACATGATTGAAGCCTTGCAAAATCAATTTTTTTCCAAGTCCAGGCGCTAGGCCTAGGCCGGCAGTACTAATGCCTAGTAATGGCAGCTGACTTTATTTTCGGAGAAACACTACTCATTGTAGTAAAAAGTAACAATGAATAGCGATATCATCTAGGAAGGATCGCTACCCTAACGCGAAGGAAAGGCCTTGCGCGGCTGCTCTACGAAGTGTTGAAGAAAGACTCATCAAAGTTAGTTGGTGGACGAACAACTCGCTGGCGCCGGAAAACTTGGCCCCCAACGATGGTGTTTGGTGAATCATCAAGCATAATGTCTTGTAGCAGTGTTCACCGAGGAAGGAGAACGCTCTAGCCGCTGCTGTTGTCCGTTTCATCCACGTTGGGCGTTAGCTGCACCGCGCCTATTGTGTTTTAGTATTCCATGGACACACATTAGCATTCCGAGCGATTGTGGAGCCACAATTTACTTCACACAGCGTTGTATTGTCCACGAGCGCAAACTTCATTATCAGCAGTAACTGTTACTCTTCATCCTACATGTAGACTTGGAGTATACACGGCCTTGTCACGACAGCGACAGCTCTACAGATCATGCAGAGTGTTCAAGTGAGAAACATTAATTTCTATTGTTGGTGGACGAATAAATGGCTGGTTCCGAAAAAACGCGGCCTGCACCGATGGTGTTTGGTGGATCATCAAACAGGGTGACCAGCAGTGTTCACCGAGGAAGGAGAATGCACTCGCCACCACTCCGATTCATCCAAGTGGGCGTTAGCTGCGCCGCGCCTATTGTGTTTTAGTATTCCATGGACGCACACTAGCGTTCTCAGCGATTGTGGAGCCACAACATATCTTCATGCGGCGTTGCACTGTCCAAGAGCAGAAACGTCAGCAGTGACCCATCATCATACATGTAGATTTGGAGTATACACACCATGCGCCAATGGGCCTTGGCACAACAGCGGCAGCTCTACGGAGTGTTCAAGTGAGAAACATTTGTTTCGACTTTTGGTGGACGAACAAATCGTCGGTGCCGAAAAACGTTGCCTGCGCCGATGGTGTTTGAACCATCGAGGGCTCCGGAAGCAGCAGCTGAGCCAGATCAGCCAGTCTTGCCAACTCTCAGTTGCCGGACTCCGTGCTGCGGCTAGCAGCACTGGCACCAGCCGGAATTATTTTTCCGCCGATACCCGTTACTTCCAGTTCTGTCAAGGGCATAACTGGAATCCATTGCCAGGTGATGACCTTTTACTTTATGTGTTATTTTGCTGCCGAGTTGTTCAGAACTTTTCAGCCCCGATCTGTCCATGTCTACATGTCGGCCATCCGCAAACTTCATGTGGTAGTTGGCTTTACCTACCCGTCAGGCCCAATGACTCTCCTCGCAAGGTTCCTGTCGGGCATCAACAGGTCATCATCGACACAGCGTCATCGCCTGCTGATAACCACTCAACTTCTTAGGGAGATTAGCCGGCATGTTG